TTGGGAGTATATGTAAATTCAAAACTTTAAAACTGGTTTTCTCGAGTTTTTAGTTTTTTGAGTTATGAAAATATTGAAGTAAAACTCAAATAAAAAATTACAAAATTCATTTGGATTCACCCACGCCAAATATTGAAAATTTAAATAAAAAAATTTAAATTCATGTTCATCAAAATTTTCCATATCATTATGAAATGTTTAAAAATGTCTTTTAATCGCATACATATTCCCCTCAAAAATCACCCTTTAATTCTTTGAAAAAAAAAAAATACATTAGAATTTCCATTAAAAAGTCGTTGTATTTCTTCTTCATCAAAATATTTCCTTATGACAAGAATCAAAATGTCACCAAAAGCATTTTCAAGTATGTAATATTTATCGCAAGGCATTTTTGCGTACAAGAAACAAAGCGCAACAGCCAAANACCCTTTCTGCGTCCTTCGTAAATGCAACCTTTTATAAGGGAGTGTCAAACCGCAGCTGTCAATAATTATCTAACCTTGTATTATTGAATCATGGTNTTTAAAAATGTCTTTTAATCGCATACATATTCCCCTCAAAAATCACCCTTTAATTCTTTGAAAAAAAAAAAATACATTAGAATTTCCATTAAAAAGTCGTTGTATTTCTTCTTCATCAAAATATTTCCTTATGACAAGAATCAAAATGTCACCAAAAGCATTTTCAAGTATGTAATATTTATCGCAAGGCATTTTTGCGTACAAGAAACAAAGCGCAACAGCCAAACACCATGATTCAATAATACAAGGTTCGATAAACTGACAGTTGTCTCTCTCGCACCGCTCCCTTAGCAGTGGCACCGTGTTGCTTCTTTGCAAATTTACATGGAAACAGTGTAGCTTTGGTGTGAAATAAAAGTATAAGCTTTTGTGCAATATGTTTATTTGTATATGCATATGAAGCATATTTAACTGATGAAAACATAAACTGTTTATGAATTGGATGTTTACATCAATCTCATAGTAGTCTTATTTTAATTTTGAGTCATTTTGCAGTTTTTATACGGCTAAATAGCATATAAATTACGTAATTCACGTAGATATATCAATATTACGTTCAACATTTCGTTTAAAATGCCAGATTTCCTGCAAATACATTAGAATTTACAAAAGGAATTTCACTACTAATTGCCTACTTTGCGTACTTTTCTACTACCATTTTCGCAACAAGGGATTGCATTCTTGCCCTTTCTCTGTCCTTCGTAAATGCAACCTTTTGTAAGGGAGTGTCAAACCGCAGCTGTCAATAATTATCTAACCTTGTATTATTGAATCATGGTGTTGCTTCTTTGCAAATTTACATGGAAACAGTAGTTGTGTTTTCGTATTCTCCAGCAAAAAAAAATCCAGTAACTTGCCAGTAACCAAATTTCGGAGAGTAAGCCAATATTTACTCCCAATGAGTGAAATATGCAAGAAAGTACGAAAACGCACAACCAGCAAGAAGTTGCTAGTTTTATGAACAGCTGATTAATTTGTTATTTTCCGATGCNGCAAAACCAGCAAGAAGTTGCTAGTTTTATGAACAGCTGATTTATTTGTTATTTTCCGATGCAATTTTCTTAGAAAACTAGTATATTCCATCTTATTATATATTTAAATGGGTTTATTTTGTCTAATGCAACTCTAAAAGCACCACAAACAATTATTTTGTTAATGTGAATTACATTAAGCATCACGCCATCAGCTGTTTTTCTTACTAGCAAATAGTTGCTAGTAAAAATTTATCCAGTAAAAATCCAGTAAAACTTGCAAGTTCAGCTGTCATTTTTGCTCTCTCAATTTCCCCTCTTTTGCTAGTTTCTTGCAAGTTTTTGCGTACGAAAACGACATCCAGTAAAAAACCAGTAAAATTAGTACTGGATTTACTGGATAGTGCGTACGCGAACAGGGCTAGTGTAGCTTTGGTGTGAAATAGAAGTAGTAAGCTTTTGTGCAATATGTTTGTTTGTATATGCATATGAAGCATATTTAACTGATGAAAACATAAGCATTGGATGTTTACATCAATCTCATAGTAGTCTTATTTTAATTTTGAGTCATTTTGCAGTTTTTATACGGCTAAATAGCATATAAATTACGTAATTCACGTAGATATATCAATATTACGTTCAACATTTCGTTTAAAATGCCAGATTTCCTGCAAATACATTAGAATTTACAAAAGGAATTTCACTACTAATTGCCTACTTTGCGTACTTTCCTACTACCATTTTCGCAACAAGGGGTTGCATTTTTGCCCTTTCTCTGTCCTTCGTAAATGCAACCTTTTGTAAGGGAGTGTCAAACCGCAGCTGTCAATAATTATCTAAGCTTGTATTATTGAATCATGGCCAAAAACGATGTTGATTCGTTGCTCTCTAGCCAACGACTAAACGATAGAGCGTAAGAATACGTGTGAGTTGATCTTCCACAATTGTGGTACGAAGCGCCGATCACTGCTTTGTGATCTGATTATGGCAACCTAACGTAACTTACAGGCCCTCACTTAAACATTCTCTTAAATGTGAGTTGCTTATAATTGAACAGTCGAAACTTAACGTAACTTAATGCAACGTCCAAATCTGTTTCATTTTGATTTCCTAGGTTTTAAGTTCCGTTAAGTTACATTAAGTTGTCATAATCAGGATTTACTCTGGTCCTGATAGTATTTAACAACCTATAATCAATGCTGAAAGAGGTGGCTAAAACTGGATCTTTATTACTAAGAGCTCTCGCTGAATCAATCGAAGTATGTTTTTTTTATGAAATCTACGAAAAGCTTTTGCATCAGAATAGCTGCGTACGAAGCATAGTTTTTATACCCGAGCGCACTTGTGCACAATATATATATATAACTTTGCTCATATAACGGTTGTTTGTAACAGGCAAAACGAATCGAGATAGATATAGACAAATGTATACATAAATGATCAGGATGAAAAAAGAAATCGATTAAGCNTTGAACAGTCGAAACTTAACGTAACTTAATGCAACGTCCAAATCTGTTTCATTTTGATTTCCTAGGTTTTAAGTTCCGTTAAGTTACATTAAGTTGTCATAATCAGGATTTACTCTGGTCCTGATAGTATTTAACAACCTATAATCAATGCTGAAAGAGGTGGCTAAAACTGGATCTTTATTATTAAGAGCTCTCGCTGAATCAATCGAAGTATGTTTTTTTCATGAAATCTACGAAAAGCTTTTGCATCAGAATAGCTGCGTACGAAGCATAGTTTTTATACCCGAGCGCACTTGTGCACAAGGGTATTATAACTATATCATATAACGGTTGTTTGTAACAGGCAAAACGAATCGAGATAGATATAGACAAATGTATACATAAATGATCAGGATGAAAAAAGAAATCGATTAAGCCATGTCTGTCTGTCCGTCCGTCTGTCCGTCTGTCCGTCTGTCCGTCTGTCCGTGTACACGATAACTCGAGCAAAAATTGAGATATCTCAACGAAATTTGGTATGTAGGTTTCCCTTAATCCAAGGTAGGTTGGTATTGAAAATGGGCGAAATCGGACTTTAACCACGCCCACTTCCCATATAACGGTAATTTCCAGAAATACGAAAACTGCGATATTTTAGTAACTACTGAAGATAATTCACTCAAAATTGATATTTACAATAATTTTTAGACGAAAAATAAGAATATTATAAATTTTTGGAAAATGGGCGTAGCCACGCCCACTTATGGTTACATGTGTATATCTTGGTAACCGCTGCACCAATTTCTTCCAAACTTGGCACAGTTGTTCACCTTGGTACAGCATACCAAATGGCCAAAATTTTTTAAAATCGGACAATAACCACGCCCACATCC